AATCACATAAAATGTACTGAGGCTGTCCTAAACTATAATATAGTTATAATACAGCTTAAAATTTCCTCAGACACTAGGAGGTTTGTACAAACATGGGTTCTGACCTTTGGGCTATTGGGAAAAAGAAAGAAAATGTTTATGCCAGATTTTTGAGAGGAAGAGAGATGAAGGACTGCATTTTAGTACCTGAGCAATACCTAACAATAAGATTAAAGCTTACAAAACAGTAAGAACTTCTGTATAAATCTGTCAGTACATTTTCAGCTCTGAATGTCTCTTCAGTATCAGTAGCCAAATTATGCTTTTTGCAGCGGCCAAGACAAAGTTTGCAGTGTTTTTTGTAGTCAGATTGCAGGTACAAATTCTTGCTTTCATACTGACATGCAAAATCCGGGTCAAGATTTGGAGCCTTTTGTACTCAAATCTATAAATACACAGATCAAGACCTTTCCTCTATCAAGGATGTTACAAAACTCTCTGTTCTTCAGATACAAGTTGTACTTTGAGGCTACTGTAAGCAACAACATCCTTCAATTTAACTGTTTTCTGTCTATTCTGTGCTGTGCAGGAGCTGTCCTCTTACCTTGGAGCTTGCTGCTCCTTTGAAAACACAGGAAATGCAACATCTAGCACAACTCCCTTTTTCAAAATGATGAGTAATTGGAATCCATTAGTGCTGGGAATGCTAAGTCACTTGCCCCCAGTATGGAAATATGTGTTTCTATGGAAACCTGTAATACAAATTGAAGTGAGAGCAGGAAGGTCCAAAAGAGAGCCATTGCCTTCCACATAACTGTTGCTGCTTCTTAAAATTTTGGTGAAAACTCCATTTTTATCCTCAACCCCACTGAATTTTTTGCAAGGTGTACAGTTACCACCACTTCTCATGCTGCTCACCATTATTCTTATTGGTGTCTTTTGTCCTGGAGATGGTTTCCTACACCTCTCAAGGCTCTGACTGACAGCACTGTGATGAGGACAGTACTTTTATTATCAGATTCTACCCAGAACAGCAGGGTCCTGAGTCCTGTTCTTGCCCTACAAAGTTACAGACATGATGTTAAAAGTTTTCCTGTTGGTCCAGCTGAAACTGGAAGGCAGAGCCCACCTGCAGAGAAAACCTGGTGACACAGAACAACCAAAATCTGTACTTTCAGCCCTCACTTCTCTCACGTGTGTGTCAGCTGCACATTAAATCCTGTGCAAGGACTCCCTTAGCCTATGAGATGCCCTCCTCCTTCTGCACAGAACTGAGCAGCAGGCACTGAGAAATGTTCAGCTACCTTTGCACATCTACCTGGTATATTGTCAGAGTTATCCCAGAAGGAATTCATATTACACACACGTGTACTTTGAGGCTACTGTAAGCAACAACATCCTTCAATTTAACTGTTTTCTGTCTATTCTGTGCTGTGCAGGAGCTGTCCTCTTACCTTGGAGCTTGCTGCTCCTTTGAAAACACAGGCACTGCTCAGTGCTTCAAGCTTCATTTACAGACGTGAAAATTTCCTGTGACTTCAATTCAGGTGTGAGGCTCTTCCAGTTGTATTCCTTTTGCAAGAGTATAAATGACAATGCAATAAGTAGGATATCAGTGCTTTAAAGAATCAGAGTAGAACAAGGTTTACTGAAGAAATCAGCATCACTGCCTCTAGCTGACTAGATTAATATATATTAAAAGTGTATAATTTTTTTTTTATTTAAATTTTTTTCTTACCTTTCACTGTAACAGAATTCTTTCACAGGTTTATCTAACACTGATGATGACAATACTGATTCCCATTCTACTGCAGATCTGTTTTAAATGGTAAATGGTTGTTCTTCAAAAACAAAACAGAACCAAAAAACCTAAACACACAAAAAAAAGCTGTAGAGTTCCTTGGACATCTGGAGAAAAAAGGGTTTTGTAGTAATAATTATGTATGTCTTTATATTTGCATAATGTTTTGTAACCGTACAATACTTAGCACATTAAGAAAACAGCAATAATAGTAACAATAAAGGACCTGGAAAAATCAATGTGAACCAAAGCTCAATTAAAGAAATAAACTTTCATTAAAAATGTGCCTGCTGAAAACGTAGAGGGACATGGGATCAAAGCTGAAAATGTAGCCACTTCAATTATATTTCAAATGGACTTGCTAATGAAGGGCACATACTTTAAATTATTACTACATGTCATGCAAGTTACTGTAAAAGTCATCTAGCACAAAAATTTGTGTTTAATGCTTGCATCATATTTTCCTAGAATAATCTTCTGGCTTTGTGGCTTATCATATATTGTGTTTTTGCCTTTCTGCCATTGACACATGGCTAGACTAGAATAAATATTTTTCAGGTATAATTTCTTGTTTTCAAAATGTACAAGTCTGTGTTTGTGAGTCATAAGAAGCTACAAAATATGCAATTTTCAAATTAGCTATGAATAATATAGTAGAAGATCTTGAACTCTATGTTAGTTTTGTGATCCTTCATTTGAAGTCATTAATAATTATAGCAGTTTTTCTCTTAATGACTGTGATTTTTTTTTTTGTATGAAAATCAATCTTCTGTTAGTACCTTTGATCTCCCTCAGACAAGGATGGGTTTTTTCTTTTATTTTTTTTACTTTTTTTGTGGCTTACCATGATGATTATATGGTCCTTGTCTTATTTCTCTAGACCTTTTATTCTTCATTTAAAATTCTGGTATTTTTTTAATCAAACTGAAAGCACTATTGCTGGTTTTTTCTCTGAACCCTCCTCCCCAGAGTCCATATCCAGTCCTCACTGTCAAAAACCAATATCCACTGAAATCAACAAAAATCTGCAATGAAATCTGCAGATTTCTAAGACCTTTTTTACCTCACAAAGCAAGGCACACTTTTGATGTTGAACAATAAATGATAGTCACAGGGTGTGATCTTAGATGTGTGGGAATCGATGGCAACTTTCAGTAGTCTCCAGTTCAAGCTGGATTCCAGAAACAATATTTGTCTCTCTTTGCTTAACACAGGTGCTGCATTTCACACACCTAAGAACACTGAAAGGTCCTCATAATATAGATGAAATACCTGGCTTTGCTCAAGGTCACATCACAGCTGTATTGCCACAAATACTTGGCTAAAGATATTGAGTTTGAAGGTTTGCTGCACAATTAGTGCTGGGGATTTCTGGATGGAAAGAGGAGTTGTGCTCATGGCTTTTTACACACAATATGGTTCACAGGGGGAGGACACAGCAGTGCCAAGGATTAAGAGAACTGGAGACAGTTATTAAAGGAGGTCACTTATTGTGACTTTATCACCCATTTTTTACCAAAACAGACCACAACTCTTCATGTGTAGCTCTGGTCAATAAGATATTCTATGATATTTAGTAGCCAAGAACTTTATACATCTTTCAGGAGAAAGAATATTTATTTGCCTATACTGATTTAATATGTAGCTGCAAAATATCCCAGTCTTGAGTTGAGTCTGGGATTATTCCTGCAGCAGAGATATCCCATTCTAATCATAATTACTGTGCCACTGACAGCAGATGAATGCAGAACTACAAGGTTCAGTTCCTTGTTGATTACCAGGCTTTCATTTCATTGCTTCCTCTTCTAGAAAATACTGAGATGCACAACCAGAATACTATTCTGCAGTGAATAGGCAGAATTATTATGCAGAGCGTGAATGTACTTTAGATTTTTGCTCAGCAAAAATCCTTTAGGGCTATACAACTGGATACTAAGGAAAATGTATAGTCAGCCCTTATGAAACAGCCTGGGGTCTATTTGCAAACTTACATTTTGCAAGCACTTTGCAGCTGCTAAAAACAAATGCGTTATGATGATCATTCAAAAATTGCCAGCTGCATTAGAGTATTACCTTTGTGTACTTGGATTCAATGTTTATACATGCCATTTTTGGCAACTTGTCTTCCCACACACACACAGAAATATTACATTTTGAGAGAAATACTAAAGCCTTAGATAACTTTATCTACTGAAGATCATGGTTACTGTGGTAGATTTACTCTAAAAAGACTAACTGAGGATAACAGGGGACCCTGAGCATCTACTCAGGTCTCTAATCTGTCTCAAAACACACATCCCTTCATTTTTACTTCAACTGCTATCAGTTCACAGCAGAGTAAAGGCAGTTCAGATATGCCTGTACATAGGTACATCCACAGTGCTGGCTGCAGCACAGCCTCACGCTGAGCACTGTGTTACAGCATCTGTGTGTTCAGCTCTGAACCTGACCTGATAGCTGGTTCTGCTCATGGCAGTGGGGAATGCCTCTGGGCTGCAATGTTGTCCGTGTCTGCAAACAAATTCTATTTAATCACACCTGAAGATTAAGTACAGAATCTTACTGATGCCAAGTAAACTATAACTTTTCTAGTTAATAAGAAGTCTGTTTCTCCTTATTTTCTAGCCATGCTTTTGAATAATTGACCCTTTCCAACTAGATGGACTGGCCTAGAGGGGAAAGGACAGCCAATCAAATTAGTCAAAAAACAGCTTAGAACTCAAATGAGATCTTTGTTAAAACTGTCCCTCAAAACCTGTTGTCATAACAAAAATTGTTCTTTGATGTAAGTGAATCAAGTGTTTGGTCCAAGACTAAATCCAGATTGTACAGAATCTATTTATTTTTTGCTACCTTCCCTATTCCCAAGTAGGATATTTCTTGGACCTGCTTCTTAATTTCTTTTAGTACAGTCTATTGTCAGTCATTATAGATTCTGCAGTCCTGTTAGGTGTATGTTCTTAAATGTTTTATACAGTGCTGCATTTTGAATACCATTCAAATTTGGTCAATCATGTACATTAGGAAGAGTATTTGTATTGTGTTTAAAATTCCAAGAATCTTGACAAAACTTGACATTTTTAATCTTTGCAATATAACCTTCCTAAGGTGACTGCATTTGAAGAACGTGTGAGATAATATATTCCTAAGCCTGAGCCACAATTATGTGTATTGTCATGTGCTTTAATATCAATAATCCTCTGCTTCCCGTGACCTTTAGGGACAGCTTCCATGTGAACTGGAGTTCTGTATCCTTCCCTTGATGGGCTGCCTAGCAGCAAATCTGCTCACTCACAGCTGCATTGTCAATGCACAAGGATGACCCATCACAGTTCCCCTGTCCCTTTGCTGGCATTCTCCCTTCAGGTAAGAAACAAACCAGAAGCTATAAACTGCTTGTTAAATTATGAAAAAGTGTTGTTAAATGCATAAAAACACATGTAATTAAATAAATTATAGCTTGTAATCAATCTGTCTGAGAGCAAAATGGCAAATCAGGGATTGAAGATTATTTGGAACCACTCACAGAACAATTACTCTGCACTAGTAGCACTGAACAAAGGAAATTATTGAGATGTTTCCTGTAAGAATTCTCAGCCACTGCATTGCAGGAACAACTTGGAGTATCACTAACATATAACAGCCTCTAATGCTTCCCCAAATGAAATCTTGTAAAAGGCTACTATCATTAATCATCAGTTGTAATGTGCTATCAAGCAATTTAACCTACAGAATCAGCCCACTGTAGCAACCACAGTATAGTTCAATCTCTGTAACAATGCATATTCAATTATCTAGCTCATCTTCTTCTCTCTTCATTGTAATTGATAGTCACAAACTGCTTAACTGAAGCTCTCCATAAAAAAAAAAAAAAAAAAAAAAAAAAAAAGAAAAAAAAAAAAAAAGAAAAATTGGCCTGTGATCATTCCTACGTGTAGGGCATATGAAAAGGTCAATATGCAAGCTGCATTTTTCAAATCAGCTTTGGTCTTCTAATTGTTCTTAGCACACTGCCTTAGGACACGTCTGTATACTTCACTCCCCACCAAAAGTGGCAGATGTGCAGATGTCTACAAAGAAGGCTGGGGTACTACACTGACCAGTCCCAGAGTGTGGGTGCAGTCACTGGAACTGGCTGCCAGCACCACTTTTTTGGACCAGCCTCAGTGTCTCTTTGGCCAGGACTGTCTTTTTTTTTTCCTCAAGCCATGCTTGGGAACAGATCAGGTCTAACACACACCAGGAACAATTTCCACAGACAGCTGGCATTCAATTGCCCTGTAATGTCCAGACCATGCTGCAAAGTGTGTTCTGCTATTGTTTGCTGAACTGGCTCATAGAGACGTGGTTGTGATGCATCTGTACAGCACCGATGGAGCAAGGTCAGTACTTTACAAAGCAGGTGTGTTACCATGGGCTTGAGTTCCCCGTGTGATTCAGATTTCATAGCAGTGACTAGAACATCTGAAGGAAAGCCTGGGATTTCCACTTCTGAGCAGCACTACTCTAGATAACCTCTTGAAGTACCAACTCACTATCTATGCATGTGAATTTGACTACTCTGGTTTCATGGATCTTCAACATTTCCAATAACACAGAATGAATGAACCTTACCTGGACATAGAGATATAACAAAATAAAACATAGAATCATAGAATCATTAAAGCTGGGAAAGACATCCAAGATTACTGAGTAATGTTTTCAGGAGGAAATTTTCTTCCCCAGTCCTGATGGCCACACTATTCCTGACCCAGGCCAGGATGCCATTGGCTTTCCTGGCCACCAGGGCACATTCCTGGCTCATATTGAGGTGGCTATTGACCAACACCTCAGGCCCTGTTCTGCTGGAGAGCTTTCCAGCCACTCTGACCCAGACTGTAGCACTGCAAGGGGTTGCTGTGACCCAGAGGCAGGACTTGACACTTTGTCTTGCTGAATCAAATAATAGAGAGCATCTATTATTGTGTTATCACTGAAGATAACATCTAACTGAGAACCCATGAACACCAATAACTTAGGGATGCCTAAAGAGAGAGTATAGAATAAGAGCATGGAGCATTTTCTTCCCCTCAGTAATTCCTTCTCAGCTTCTAACCTACAACAATTTAGGAATTTCTTGACCTGAAAATCCCACTCAGACTCTTTTTTTCTGATTTTTTGTTCTGAGTTTATTTAAAGTCTTTCTACAATTCATTATACTTTCAGTTTCAAAGAAATCCCACAACAATCCTACGCAATTCAACCATCCGTTGTGTGAAAAGTGTGTAAGGGATGAATGACTAGGTTACACAAAAGGACTGGGAAATAAATAATGCATTCAATTTTGGTATTTCAGAAACATTTTTGAGTGCTGTGATATTTTTAAAAAATAAATAGATGAGCAGAACTTTTGAACTCTGTACCTTGACTGTTAGAGCATTCAGACCCCTTTATGCTCTGAATACTTAGACTTAAGGACATGGCAAAATTTGTCTTTCATTTTTTTTCACCTTTATAGACCTATAACAACGTTACTATCTTCAATGTGTCAGGAAAATATACTGTTTATATTGACAGTGTAAATGTTATCATGTTGTTCCATCTGTTAATTCCAATTTTTGATATTCTCATGAAGAATTACCCTTTGGGAAATGTGCTCTATGCATTTAATTTGGTTTTTATGGAATGTTTTTGAATTTTGAAAGACACGTGGTTTCTCTTTTATAATCCAATAAGAACAAAACAATTTATTCATTACTTCTTTGTTAATCAGTTATACAAAGAGAAGATTTTATGTTTGCATAATTTGCTGATTAGTAAAGCTTTTTCCTCCCCTATCCTGTTTATGTAGTGGCATTTTGCAGAAAGAAATAGACTGTAAAGAAATAAATAAACATGAAGTTGAAATAGGTAGCAAGTTTATTTTTCTTTTTTGTCTACTGCAATGAAAAAGGTCACATTGGGAAAATCAACTCTCAGAATAGTCTTTAAATCCCAAGAATGTCCTTGGACACCAAAAGTTGCAAGATATGTTTTCTGATGTGTTGAAAGGAAGTTTGCAGGATTTGGGCTGGTGCGTTTTCTTCTGGGTTAGATAGAGCTTAACAGAGACCTCTCCAGAAAATGTGCATACTTATTTCCTTGACTGCTATTCATAGTAATAACCATGTGGCACTGCTTGATGAAAACCTGAGCATAGATATTAAGTGACCTGTTCTGAAGAGGTAGATTCACCACAGTTTATCCTTTCTCGGCACACAAACCAAAGTAGTTTGATATCTCAGGGGGAAAGCAGGGCAAGGTGGGCAGGAAGTGTCTAAGACAGGTGGGATGAGTTACTTTCTGAACTAGTACAATTTTTTTATTGACGATAAAGAGATCTTAGCTGATTGGACAAACAGACTTTGTAAATTAATGGTGCAGGGGCTGCCTTTGTCAGTGAAGCAGCCAGATGTGATTGGTTTGTATCCATACCACTAAACTCTCCTACCTTCTCAATGGGTTGGCTGTACTGGCTACGTTACCCCAGACCATCCTAAACCCCAGACCGTGCAAGATCTTCAGGCATGGACAAGACACTGAGCAACCCTCTTTGACCAGTAAATTTGACCAGATAATCCCCAGAGGCAGCTTCCAACCCAAATCATTCTACATGCCTGTGATTGTTTGCAAGAGTACTACATGACATGGACACACACCTGTCAGTGTGCACAGCAACAGCTTAATACAAGGGGTCACATCGCATCAGCCTCGGGCTCTCTGGCTGCTGTAGGCCAAACTATGGGCTACATATACAACAGGGGAACAAGAATGTTAAAAAATAAAAGCTTGATCTTTTCTTGGCTGTACTTCTGATTTAAGTAAACACTATTTTCTGGTCATATCTGTTGTTCTGAAATTTTTGAACACCCCTAGTAAAAGGAGAAATTTCTTTATTCCTTGGTGTTGTGACCATTTCCCTTACAAATGGGGAAGATGTGACTCAGACTTCTAAGGTATAACTGGCAAAATACATATTATTAATTAAAAAAAAATCTATTTATGTACTCCTGTAAGTTCAGCTTACTATTGTAGCACTAATATTGTAGTGCTGAGACTTGTACTAAGTTATGTGGTATTATAGCTACATCTGGAAGTATGTTGTCTTAAACAAAGGAAAAAATAGGTGAGAGAGTCATGAAAGTATCATACATCCAATTACATGAGTCTGAAGGTACAAACTTCATCCATCTTGATCTCATCCAAGACAGCTTGAAGTTCAAAGTTTAATCAAATATAGGGGAGGAGTAACTGTCTACAATTGTAGAAGACTCACAGAGGCAAGCTATGACTTAAAGTCTGGTTGGAAATGCAGTGCAATGAAAATACATTGTGTTCTGCAGAGTTTGGATATGACAAAATTCATGTTGCCACTCAAGTTAAATAATTTCCCCCTGAAGTTTTAAGTATAATTTCAACATTCGTGGCTGTATTCAGAGTATTCAACCTGCTTATGTTTTGATGGCAGCACATCCATGTCAAGGTGGATATGCAGGATCCACAGCAGGTCCTCAGGACTTGACACAGTTTTACAGCACACGGAGGCTGTGCTTCTTCACAACTGAACTGAGTAATGAGGGCTGCCCACGTGAGCACAGCCACACAGCTGGCACAACTCCAGACATCCCTTTTATTTTTGGTAGTACAACAATGTGACTTAAAATGAAGCACCTCAGCACACCCAGCCAGAGGTGGAGCTCACACATTCCTAGCAAATGGAAAGCAATGCAGCAGCGCGATATATAGTGTTTATTTGAGCTTGATATCAGTACAGGAAGGTATGAGGAAAAACAGGGTGCCAAGACAGAGTTTCAGATGAGTATGGGATTTGTTCAGAGAAAAAGAATAAAGATGATCATAGGCTATCTTGCTCATTTTAATTATTTTTAAATTATTGCTTTCCTTGATATGAGGTGCAATTTTTATCTGCTGGCTATTGCCACCGATAATGTGAATTTTTAAAGTAATTAATTAAATTTTAAATTAATTTAAAAGTAATTAATTTAAAAGTAATTTCTTAATATGCAATTAAAAGTAATTTATTTAAAAACCATATTAACTATGGTTGTTAGAGCATTCAGGAACTTCGGGTATATTTAATATTTAATCAAACCTTTTATTTAATATTTAATCAAACCTTTTCTGAAAAACATAGAGCCAAGATGGTCAGGGGGCTAAGCAGTTGGCTTATTGAGGGGAGGCTGAGGGAACTGGTCTTATTCCGTTTGGAGAAGAGATGTCTTTGGGAGACACAACAGCAAACTACCAGGAACTTGGAGATGGTTATGGAGCCAGGCTGCTCACAGTGGTGTATGGCAAGAGACTGAGGCAATACCTCAGGAGTTGAATCAGGAAAGGATTAATAAGGAAAGGATTAATAAGGGAAAAAAATCCCACAAGGATGGTCAAGCATTGGTACTATTAAGGAAACTCTTTGGAGATTTTTAAGATGTGGATGGATAAATACCTGAAGAATGTAGTCTGACCCTATAGCTGTCCATGCTTTCAGCAGAAGGTTGGAATAGAGGCCTCCAGAAGGTCCTCCCAAACTGAACTATCCCATGTTACTATAATCTTGAACATCAATTTCCACAAAAGTCTATTATAAACCAGGAAAGTCTAAGAAATTATTTTCATATTCTTGGCGTTATGAGCTCAAACCCATATATTTTTTAAAGAAATTAAAATTCTAAGTACTTTTCCACCTTCCGCAAAAAAATATCTTACATTAATTTTTTCCCAAGTAATATCTTAGCAGCTGAAATTATTTCCCTATTAAGAACATCCTGAAAAATCCATGGTACATCACTTTATTAGACAGTTGGATATGCTTTCCATTACTTAGCACTTTGCTGCATCACACCTTGAGAAAATCCTTGATTGTCTAATGTGG